AGGAAGAAAAATATTTAAAAAGAAAAATAATAAATGCTAATACAGATACATGGGTATCATGAAAATTGTGTCTAACTGAATCTTAAAAGACATTGCTTTAGACAGTATACTTATACCTTCTTATCAAATATAGACAGTATCTGTTGATTCTATGAAGGAGTGACAATTTTTAATACATTTAAATATATATATATCTAAATGAGTTATGATTATATATATGTTTTGTTTTGTTTTGTTTTTTAACAATGCTGCTGTTCTAAATACAGTATTCTTTGCCAAGCATGGTGGCTCATGCTTGTAATCCCAACATTTTGGGAGGTCGAGGCAGGAGGACTACTTGAGCCAGCCTGGGAGTTCAAGACCAGCCTGGGCAACAAAATGAGACTTCGTATATACAAAACATAAAATGATTAGCCAGGCATGGTGGCACGCACCCATAGTCCCAGCTACTCAGGAGGCTAAGGTGAGAGGATCATTTAAGTCCAGGAGTTTGAGGCTGCAGTGAGCTGTCATCATGCCACTGCACTCCAGCCTGGATAACAGAGACCCCGTCCGAAAAAAAAGAAAAGGAAAAAAATAATAAAAATTGTCTTTTGGTGTTTATTGACTTCAACAGCACTGGAAATGAGCAATAACCAAATGAAATGTAGTAAATATAAATATCAAATTATATATTTTGGTTCAAAAAAACAGCTTATGTGGGCAAAATACTGGTCTGAAGATGGGACTACAATAGTATGGGGCTGCCAGAAAATCTGATGCAATCTCAGTTACATAATTTAAGTACAGTGTCCAGAATAAGAAAGGAATTGTCCTTCTCTACTCCAAGCTGGTAAGAGCCTTACTCTATTAACTTACAAGAAACAAATTCTCTGCAGCCATCTAAGCCTAGAAGAGAACCAAAATATCATTTATCCCTGCTGAGAACAGGGTAGGGACTCTAGAAATCAAAAGATAGCTATAGTTTCTCAACAGCAACACTAATGGTCTTATTCTCAGAAAAAGAGGTGTTGGTTGCGACTCTCATGCTCTATTTCATGGTGCCATCTCTGCTTCTACTGAGGCAATATAACAGTGTTTAAAAGCATAGGCTCTTGAGTTTGCCTACAATATAACCTCCATTCCTCAATTTCCTTTGCTATAAAGTGAAAACAGTAACAGAACCTTCCTTGTAGAGTTGTTGAAAGGGTTAAGCAAGTTAGTCCATGTAAAATTACCTAGTTCCTGGCACAGTTAGTGCCTCCTAAGTGTTTCCTTGTATTAGTATTACTAGTCTTGATACTACTCTGCTCTTCTAGCTCTTGTGCACTACTTCTCACATCCTTCTGTGTATTAGTCTGTTTTCTGTTGTTTTTAACAGAATACCTGAAGCTGGGCAAATTATAGAGAAAAAGAATTTCTTACAGCTATGGAGGCCAAGAAGTCCAGGTGGTGGGGCTGCATCTAGTGAGAGCCTTCTTGCTGGTGAGGACGCCCAAGAATCCCAAGGTGTTGTAAGCTCTCATGGCTAGAGGGCTGAGCACGCACTCCAACCTGGGTAACAGTGAAACCATCTCAAAAAAAAAAAAAATCATGAGGAGGGCCCTGTCCTCATGTATAGATTAACCCACTACTCATGGATTAATGAGTTATCATAAGTGGGCAACCGGCTGAGCATGCAAAGGACTCAGGTCTCTCTTCCTATTTTAAAGTCACCAGTTGCCCACTTATGATAACTCATTAATCCATGAGTAGTGGGTTAATCTATTCATGAGGACAGAGCCCTCCCTCATGATTTTTTTTTTTTTTTTTTTGAAACGGTTTCACTCTGTTACCCAGGTTGGAGGGCAGTGGCACAATCACGGCTCACTGCAGCCTCTTCCGGACTCAAGCAATCCTCCCACCTCAGTCCCTACCCCGAGCAGCTGGGACTACAGGTATACCCCACTACACCTGGCTAAGTTATGCGTTTTTTGTAGAGATAGAGTTTCACCATGTTGCCCAGGCTGGTCTTGAAGTCCAGGGCTCCAGTGATCTGTCTGCCTTACCTCCCAAAGTGCTAGGTAGGATTACAGGTGTGAGCCACCATGCTGGCTCTCAGTCACCTCTTAAAAGGCCCCACCTCTCAATTCTGCCACACTGGGGATTAAATTTCAACTTGAGTTTTGGAGGGATAAATATACAAACATAGCATTTTGACTTTTTCAAAGATATCCCTTTGTCGTCAGCATCAAAACTTTTCCTCTCTCTGAGTCATTTCTATTGACATATAAATTTGTTGTAATGTCTCTGATCTCTTTTTAAAAATTTGTTCTTTGATCACACAGCCTCCTCCACCCTATTTCTATTCCTCTCCTTCCATTCTCTCTTAAACCCATTCAAATCAGGCTTTCATCACGCCACTCTACTGAAATGGTGCTTCGTCAATGTCATCAATGAATGGGTTCCACACGGCCAAGTCCAGTGGTCACTTCCCAGGCATTGTCTTGCTTGACTTGTCAGCAGTATTTGACACACCTGATCATTCCCTCTTTCAAACTTTCTTTTTTTTTTTTTTTTCTTGGAGACAGAGTTTCACTCTTGTTGCCCAAGCTGGAGTGCAATGGCGTGATCTCAGCTCACTGCAACCTCCACCTCCTGGTTCAAGCGATCCTCCTGCTTCAGCCTCCCTAGTGGCTGGGATTACAGGCACGCACCACCACGTCCGGCTAATTTTTTCTATTTTTAGTAGAAACGGGATTTCACCATGTTAGCCAGGCTGGTCTCGAACTCCTGACCTCAGGTGATCCACCCTCCTCAGCCTCCCAAAATGCTGGGATTACAGGCGTGAGCCACTGCCCCTGGCATCTTCAAACACTTTCTTCGCTTGGCTTTCAGGACACCACACTCAGCTCTCCTGCATCCCTGAACACTGGTTTTTTGTTTGTTTGTTTCATGTCAGATGGGAAAATGTACTGACATCATAACAAGGTTCAAGGGTGGCACATCTCACACATGCACATGAACACCCAAACATCTCACACTTAGGAACTACAAAAGGATCTGACCACTGCTTTTCAGTCTCATCTTCACCTCCTAACATTGTCGAGCCCCAGAGGTAAATCATCAAATCTCTTCTCTCAAAACTCAATGAGATTGATCCCAGCCAATCTCATTGCTTTCAACACCATCTATATGTTGAAGATTCCCAAATGTGCATCTCCAGCCATAACTTCTGCCTTTTTTTTTTTTTTTTTTTTTTTTGAGACGGAGTCTCGCTGTGTCACCCAGGCTGGAGTGCAGTGGCGTGATCTCGGCTCACTGCAAGCTCCGCCTCCCGGGTTCATGCCATTCTCCTGCCTCAGCCTCCCGAGTAGCTGAGACTACAGGCGCCCGCCACCACGCCCGGCTAGTTTTTTGTATTTTTAGTAGAGACGGGGTTTCACCGTGTTAGCCAGGATAGTCTCGATCTCCTGACCTCGTGATCCACCCGCCTCGGCCTCCCAAAGTGCTGGGATTACAGGCTTGAGCCACCGCGCCCGGCCCATAACTTCTGCCTTAACTCCAGGTTCCTCCTATCCAACTGCCTACTTGTCAGCCTCACCTGGCTGTCTTAATAGACGTCTCTTATTTTTTGGAGACAGAGTCTCACTCTTATCACCTAGGATGGAGTGCAGTGGCACGATCTCAGCTCACTGAAACCTCCACCTCCCAGGTTCAAGCAGTTCTCCTGCCTCAGCCTCCTGAGTAGCTGGGATTACAGACAACGAGCCACCACACCCAGCTAATTTTTTAAATTTTTAGTAAAGATGGGGTTTCCTGACGTCTGGTGATCCACCCGCCTCAGCCTCCCAAAGTGCTGGGATTATAGGCGTGAACCATTGCACCCGGCCTGTTTTTCTTCATTTCTATACCACTATCTTTCCTGGCTCTCTTTTAAATTCCCTGAGAGGACTGAATAGGTTGTTCTGTTACCATTTAGTAGGAAGCAGCCCTGCTGGGTGAGTTGTCAAGCCACGTCACCAAGGGGCTTCCAGCTGCAGTTTACGATTGAATCCTCTGATCTGTCTCCCACTAGATTCCACTATCGTTAGCTTCACTGTTACCAATGAGTGTGGGTCTGTTTTGTAGAAATGAATTTTATTTATTCGGATCTTTCAGAAATTGACACAAAATTGCAGTGAAGTTGAAGGCAACAGAAAATATTTTCAAACTGAAACACCCAGCCATCAGCTATTGTGGATACTGTCGAGAGCAAAAACCACCAGTGCCAATCAGCATCTGGTAAAGGAGGTTCTCCAGCTCGGTCCATTCCCTTCCTTTTTCTTGGCAAGTAAGAGGCTGTCTCCCATTTTTCAGGCAACGTTTTCATTATTTCTCAGCTCTTCTTTCGATGCACCACAAGAGGGCAGTGTTTTATCATAGTCTCCTTGAATTATATAATACCAACAGTGGGACGAGATGACTTCCAGAAGTAGAAATTGACTATTATGCCAAAACTGTTCACCAAAGTTGATAAAACTCAAGTTTACAATTGTACCCCAAAGTCATGGGACTGGACCCCATCTCGTGGTAAGTCATCAGTTTAGCAATGATAAAGAAGATAACCTTCCGAAAGTTTGTGTAGATCAGAAATAAAGTATTTTTTGTGGAAGGCTGTTTTTAAGTATTGAAGGTAGTATTTCCTTTCCTGAATTCACATTGCAGATGTACGGTGTGAATTTACTGGTTTATCTCTGCAAATCTTAAAGTAGAAGATTGCAAGGGCCAGGTGCGGTGGCTCACGCCTGTAATCCCAGCACTTTGGGAGGCCGAGGCAGGCGGATCACCTGAGGTCAGGAGTTCGACACCAGCCTGGTCAACATGGTGAAACCCCGTCTCTACCAAAAATACAAAAATTAGCCAGTCATGATGGCAGGCGCCTGTCATCCCAGCTACTAGGGAGGCTGAGGCAGGAGAATCGCTGGAACCCGGGAGTCAGAGGTTGCAGTGAGCTGAGATCATGCCACTGTATTCCAGCCTAGGCAACACAGCAAGACTGTTTCAAAAACAAATTTTTTTTAATTAAAAATAAAGTAGATGCAGTAAAGAAGAGGTTTATTAGCTCTTCCTTTCAAGGTATCTGTGTACTGTATAGAAACAATGAAAGTTGAAGAACAGTGATACTCGTGCTAGGCATATTAGTCACCGCATTGTAATTGAAAGCAAGAAATATCATAAGCAAGTGTTAGATTACTAACAAGTTAAGTCCCTTAGGGCAGGTAGATTCAGTCTTTTCTTTCTCAGAGCAATTCCTTTCTGCCATAAACTACAGAGAGGTGATTAATAGAACATCGGAGAATTGAATGATACCTAGCTAGACTTCACCCTAAAATTTTAGCCCTAAAAAGAGGAATTAAATTGTGTAGATGCCTTTAAAGAACATTTTCTAGCATCTTTCTACATCTTCCCTAAGTGGCCTCTTGAGCCCAGTTGGATTTTGGTTATATGCCATGATAGTAATCATAAGAATCAGTTACATTGAATAATAAAATGATCCCAAAATGCATGAATACAGTCGATTCCCTCTCCTATTTATTCCTTGTGGAAAAAGAAAAACCCAAATCTTAAAAACTAAAGCAAGTCAGGGAAGCCTGGAAAGACACCCAGATTTGATAACATGTTAGAAGGAAATCCAGTCTTAGGAATCTCATTTTCTGGCTTTGATCTGGTTGTCCGTTGGGATGGACTTGCCCAAGTGATGGCCCACAGAAAGGCCAAATTTCTTGTTTTTCTCCTCATCCTGTACCTCTTTTTTCATTAAGAATCCTGCCTGGAAGTTTAGGTCAAAGAGGCTGCTTGGAGCAAAATACAGTGGTGTCTCATCCCAAATATTCTCCAGGCGTTTCTTCCATCCTTCCAGGATCTGAATTCGGGCGTCTGCTGGAGTGTGCCCAATGCTATATGTCAGTTGAGGTTCTAAGACTTGGAAGCCACAGAAATGCAGAATGCCACTCTGAGGATACAAAAAGCACAGAGAGGTAAGTCAACCAATTCCGTGCAGTTGTACTATAAACAACAGAAGTTGGTCTGGGCTTCCCAGTAAGACACTCTGATGAGGAGGCCTCAGGCACCCTAGAGAATCAGTTCAGAGCTGGCGTCTCTCTCCTACCCTATACCTAGCTGTTACCAATTTTAGCCTTCTCAGGTGTGCTCTTCTTTAAATGCATAAACCCTTGAAACTGTGCCAACCTGAATCCTTTGCCAAGAAGGCTAGAAGTTTTCTTACTTTAGGGAGTCTCAGTTTCTTGGCAGGTGACTCACCAAGACCTGCGGTGGGTGCATTTCTCCACCTCTCCATATAACCAGATGGGTCTTTTTTTTTTTTTCTTTCTTTTTCTTTTTTTTTTTTTTTTTTTTGAGGCAGAGTCTCGCTCAGTCGCCCAGGCTGGAGTGCAGTGGCGCAATCTCGGCTTGCTGCAACCTCTGCCTCCTGGGTTCAAGCAATTCTCCTCCTGCCTCAGCCTCCTGAGTAGCTGTGACTATAGGCATGTACCATCATGCCCAGCTAATTTTTGTATCTTTAGTAGAGACAGGGTTTCACCATGTTTACCAGGCTGGTCTTGAACTCCTGACCTCAAGTGATCCACCAAAGTGCTGGTCTCCCAAAGTGCTGGGATTACAGGCCCAGATGAGTCTTGATAAATGATTTTCATAAGTGGCTTCTCATTGGCTCTTCTCTCCAACCTCCCTCTTTATAGAAATTATCCTGAGGGTCTGGTAACACCAATAAGCCCACCCCAGGCTTCAGTTTTATCCAGTTTTATCCATGTATAAACTGGCTAGACAAATTATTTCTTTTTTCTTTGAAACAGGGTCTCGCCCTGTATCCCAGGCTGGCATGCAGTGGTGTGATCATAGTTCGAGGCTCATCATACTGCAGCCTCGAACTCCTGGGTCTGTCGCCTTAGACTCCCAAGTAGCTGGGACCACAGGTGTATGCTAATTTTTTTTTTTTTTTTCTTTTTTTAGAGAGGAGTTCTCACTATGTTGCCCAGGCTGGTCTCAAAGTCCTGGGCTCAAGCGATCCTTCTGCCTCAGCCTCTGAGTAAATAATTTCTTAAATTGTCTTGGGCTCTAATAGTCTGTGAGACTGTATCAGCAACCTGGAGAAGGACAGGAAGGCTGGAGAGAGATGTCAGTCATCTGGCGAGACCGGGGCCCACGGCTAAACAAATCAAGGGTAGTGATTCACACTAGTCCTTGGCTGGGAGAGAATGCTGTTTGAACACACGCACGTGCAGGTGTATTTCACACACACAGGCACCCGGGAAGGCAGGCAAGTTCCTAAAGGAAGCTCCCGTCATTCTGAATCATGACCACGCTTTCATCTTCACAACTCAAGATCTATTTTCAGATGCTATCTTGAGGTTTTGAACCCCATAGAAGGCTCAATTAATGAATTCCCCTGAAGGTTCGTTGAAAATGAGGTACCTGGCCGGGTGCAGTGGCTCATGCCTGTAATCCCAGTACTTTGGGAGGCTGAGGCAGGAGGATCATTTGAGGTCAAGAGTTTGAAACCAGCTTGGCTAACATGGCAAGACCCCGTCTCTACTAAAAATACAAAAATTAGCTGAGTGTGGTGGCGGGCGCCTGTAATCCCAGCTACTCAGTAGGCTGAGGCAGGAGAATCGCTTGAACCCAGTGGGTAGAGGTTGCAGTGAGCCGAGATGGTGCCACTGCTGTCCAGCCTAGGTGACAGAGCGAGACTCCGTCTCAAAGAAAAAAAAAAGAAAAGAAAAGAAAATGAGGTACCTGAATTGGCCAGAGAATGACATTCATGTCCCCATGGATCCCTTGCAGAGAGTACATGGAGCCGCTGCCACCAGTGGTGATAGAAAGCACTGCCTTCTTACTCTGCAAAAGAAAAAAACAATAACAAACTTCATTCCCCTCCACATCCCCTTGTGACAAGAAGTTAATGAAACAGCTCCAGGGACAAGAACACACAAGTCTGTCCTATTTGCTGTTTATGTTACTTCATACTTTGGCTCCCCTGAGCTACACAGTATGACTCTGCAGACTAGACGGTCTACAGACCAGCGGCCTGGGGCAAACCAAGGATTCCAAACCCCCACGTGTGGCTCAGGGCGAGGCTGTCACCACATCCAAAATCAGTGCTTGCTGCTGGCTGCCTAGGTGGAGTTACTGGGCGTTCTCATCCATCCTCCCACGGGCTAGGCATGGCGTAGGACAAGCTCTTTCATCTGGAAGGTCTTGAAGGGTTCCCTGTGCAGGATTTGGGCCTCCGAAAAATGAAGACAGGCCTTCTTTTGTTTTTATTATGGAAATTTTTAACACACGTAAATGAGAAAATAGTACTGCATCTATCACTCATCTTCATCTCTCAGTATTTTGCCATTCTAGTTTTAGCTCGACCCATGACCCCCTTTTTCTCTGGAGCATTTTATTTTATTTTATTTTTTCATTTTTTTTTTTCTCTGAGACAGAGTCTGGCTGTCACCCAGGCTGGGGTGCAGTGGCACCCTCTCGACTAACTGCAAACTGTCTCCCGGGTTCAAGTGATTATCCAGCCTTAGCCTCCCAAGTAGTTGGGATTACAGGCACTCACCACCACATCTGGCTAATTTTTGTTTTTGTTTTTGTTTTTGTTTTTGATATGGATTCTTGCTCTCTCACTCAGGCTGGAGTGCAGTGGTGCGATCTCAGCTCACTGCTACCTCTGCCTTCCGGGTTCAAGCAATTATCTTGCCTCAGCCTCCCAAGTAGCTGGGACTACAGGTGCCCACCACCACGCCTGGCTAATTTTTTGTATTTTTAGTAGAGACGAGGTTTCACCGGATGGTTTCGATCTCCTGAACTCATGATCTGCCCGCCTTGGCCTCCCAAAGTGCTAGGATTACAGGTGTGAGCCACCACGCCTGGCCTTTTATTTTATTTTTTTAAGACGGAGTCTTGCTTTGTTGCCCAGGCTGGAGTGCAGTGGTGCGATCTTGGCTCACTGTAACCTCCACCTCCTGGGTTTCAAGCAATTCTCCTGCCTCAGCCTCCCAAGTAGCTGGGATTATAGGGGCCCACCACCACACCCAGCTAATTTTTGTATTTTTAGTAGAGATGGGGTTTTGCCATGTTGGCCAGACTGGTCTGAAACTCCTGACCTCAGGTGATCTGCCTGTCTTGGCCTCCCAAAGTGCTGAAATTACAGGTGTGAGCCGCCATGCTCAGCCTCTGGAGCATTTTAAAACAAATCCCAAATATCATGTCATTCCATCTGTAAAAACTTGATCATGCATCTCTGCCAAAGGACCCGGAGCCTAGGCTTAGGATCTAATTGTGCTCAAAACCCTGCATCAGAGCCGGGCGCGGCGGCTCACACCTGTAATCCCAGCACATTGGGAGGCTGAGGGGGGGGTGGATCACCTGAGGTCAGGAGTTCAAGACCAGCCTAACCAATGTGGAGAAACCCTGTCTCTACTAAAAATACAAAATTAGCCAGGTGTGGTGGCCCATGCCTGTAATCCCAGCTATTCAGGAGGCTGAGGCAAGGGAATCGCTTGAACCCAGGAGGCAGAGGTTACAGTGAGCCGAGAATGCACCATTGCACTCCAGCCTGGGCGACAAGAGGGAAACTCCATCTCAAAAACAAAAAACAACAAACAACAAACAAACAAACAAAACCTGCATCAGGACAGACCACCCAGAAGCCGGCTGTCAGAGCATTCAGAACCATCTACCTACCTGGAAGGGTCCTTTGTCATACATGGCAGCGAGCGTGTAAGCAAACTCTCCTACGAACACTCGCTCAAACCAGCCTTTCAGAATGGCAGGGACTCCAAACCACTGTAGGGGGAACTGCAGGACAGAAGACATCATCAAGTTCAGACCAGAGGCTCCCCAAGCCCAGAAGGCGACTCGGGGTGCTGAGCTGCTCCCCATTATGGCTCTGTGGGGGAGCCCCTCTTCACGCCTTTCCCATTCCTCCTGGGGAGTTAGCACTTTAAGGAAAGAGATCATTATTGTCCTTGGTCAGCCAATTGGACAGTCTTCTTTTTCCCTGAAAATGCAAATATTGAGTGGGTCCAAGAAAGCTACATACACAGAAGACTTATTGATATGAAACTTGTTTGTATGAAATCACATTTGTCAGCAAAGTCTAAATAGCAAGGATTGCAAACAAGGTCTGCTTCAGGGTGTCGCCTCAATCAGTATTTTCCCAAGAGTTTGCTTTAGTAGTGTGGTATCAACAATATGACTGTTGGCCAGGCGCAGTGGCGCACGCCTGTAATCCCAGCCCTTTGGGAGGCTGAGGCAGGTGGATCACTTGAGGGCAGGAGTTTGAGATCAGCCTGGCCAACATGGTGAAACCCCATCTCTACTAAAAATACCAAAATCAACTGGGTGTGGTGGTGGATGCCTGTAGTCCCAGCTACTCAGGCTGTTGAGGCAGGAGAATCACTTGAACCTGGGAGGTGGAGGTTACAGTGAGCCGAGATTGTGCCACTGCACTCCAGCCTGGGTGACAGAGTGAGACCCCATCGTGGAAAAAAATGAAGATAGGCCTTCCTCCTTTTATGACTGTCCCTTGTTATCATGGATGAAAAATCGTATCACTTAGAATAAACACAATCACTCAAAAATGCAAACTAATAATCAGTGTGATGGCTGAGTGCAGTTGCTCATGCCTATAATCCCAGTATTTTGGGAGGCCAAGGTGGGAGGACCACTTGAGCCCAAGAGTTTGAGACCAGCCTGGGCAACAAAGTGAGACTCTGTCTCTACAAAAAAATTTAAAAATTAGCCTGTTGTGGTGGTGCACATCTCTAGTCCTAGCTATGTGAGAGGCTGAGGCAGGACGATTGCTTGAGCCCCGGAGTTGGAGGCTACAGGGAGCTGTGATCACCACTGTATCCCAGCCTGGGTGACAGAGCAAGACTCCACCTCTAAATAATAATCATCATCGTCATCAATGTGGCTAGGCGCGGTTGCTCACGCCTTTAATTCAAGCACTTTTGGAGGCCAAGGTGGGTGGATCACTTGAGGTCAGGAGTTTGAGACCAGCCTGGCCAACGTAGTGAAACCCTGTCTCTACTAAAAATACAACAGTTAGTCGAACATGGTGGCACATGCCTATAGTCCCAGCTACTTGGGAGACTGAGGCAGGAGAATGGCTTGAACCCGGGAGGCGGAGGTTGCAGTGAGCCGAGATCACGCCATTGCACTCTAGCCTAGGCAACAGAGCAAGACTCCATCTCAAAAACAAATAAATAAACAAATACATAAATAAATGAATAAAATGTTAAAAAATAAAAATAATAAATAATAATTAGTGTAACTAAGGTTCATCAGGGACTTCCCGTGAGAAAGTCTTGTCTGACCTCTTATCCTAATAAAAGCAGAGCACGGACTCTACCAGGAGGTTTTCTTATCCTTGATTCATGATTTAAAGATAATCCCAGCCCTTTGGGAGGCCGAGGCAGGCAGATCACTTGAGCCCAAGAGTTTGAGACCAGCCTGGACAAAGTGGTGAGACCCTATCCGTACAAAAAAAATTAAAAGATTAGCATGGCATGGTGGCGTGCACCAATACTCCCAGCTATTCAGGAGACTGAGGTGGGAGGATCACTTGAGCCGAGGAGGTTGAGGCAGCAGTGAGCGGAGATCTTGCCACTGCACTCCATCCTGGGCGACCGTGAGACCTTGTCTCCAATTTAATTTTTTTTAAAGGCATCCTTTGGGGTACTGGCTAGTGGCATGTGGCTTTAATTCCTAGCAACAGGCCTGTGGGTAAAATAAAGGACTTCAAGGATTGGATGTTTTGTAGCTGACTGAATAACTAAAAAAAAAAAAAAAGAAAGAAAGAAAAAAAAAAAAGCCACAGCCTATACCACCCTGTTCGTGGTTTCCAGGATCATATACATTCTATGTTCAATATCAAAAGACTGGCTGGAATTGGTAAAAGGAAAGTCATTGAGTACAGTCACATTTATAGGAAAGATCACTGACGAGATTCACGCATAATCCCAGTATTGTCTGCTAAATGGTAAGGCCGCTTCCCGAAGAAGAAAGGCTGTGGTTTGCTGCAGGAACACATTCAGCAGGGTTTCAAAGCCCCCTTCAGCTGGCAGGCTACAATGGCAGAGAAGTCAATGTGTCATGGATTATTCTACAAAGTATTTGGGATTTTTATGGAGAAAGGAGGAGAACTGCAAATTTTGAGAGTCCAACAGGAATCACTAACTGAAGGAATCGCTAACTGAAGGGGAGACTAAGTACATAGAAGAAAGCAAGCTCAAGGGTTGTACATCATCTATGCAGTTGCATTTCTTTCTCTCTCTTTTTTTTTTCTTTTTTTTTTTGAGACGGAGTCTCGCTCTGTCGCCATGTCGCCAGGATGGGGTACAGTGGCACAATCTTGGCTCACTTCAACCTCCACCTGCCAGGTTCAAGCAATTCTCCTGCCTCAGCCTCCAGAGTAACTGGGACTACAGGCACATGCCACCATGCCCAGCTAATTTTTGTAGTTTTAGTAGAGACCAGGTTTTACCATGTTGGCCATGATAGTCTCGAACTCCTGACCTCAAGTGATCCGCCTGCCTCGGCCTCCTAAAGTGCTGGGATTATAGGCGTGAGCCACCGCGCCTGGCCTTGCAGTTGCATTTACATATGCAACAGTAATACAGCCAGATTCCCAATATCTGTGAAATCCATGTAATACTGCACCTTTAAAGTAATCACCCTTATTTGCAGAGAATGCAGTAAAGGGGGTGACTGTTTAAGATCCCATAGCTAATTAGGTGACATGTCTAGGACAATAAGCATGCAAATGCCCCTGACACCACTTCCAATGTCCCACCATACCTGGAATATCACAAGGTCTGCAGCTTCCAGCTTCTTTTGTTCAGCCACAATATCTGGGCTCAGACGGCCCTCTTTATAAGCCAGAGTAGATTCGGCAGCATACTGAAAGTTCGCAGGGTCCTTCAGTTTACCTGCAGAGAAGAAAAAGAGAGGCTGGGGCCAGAGGAGCCAAAGCCGGGCCAGAGGACCCACAGGCAAGGAGATCCGCAAAGAACTAATTAAAAAGGGGAGGAGGAACTCCTACCTGTGATGTCCTTTCTGGAAATGATGGGATTGAAGTTCATGGCATAGAGGTCCGACTCCGCCACCTCCCACCCTTTCTTCTTCAAAGCTGCTACAGCAGCCTCCTTCATGGCATAGTTGAAGGATGTCCTTTCTGAGTGAGCCAGTACGATCAGTGCTCTTTTGCCTACAGAGACACACACAAAGCACCCGGGGAAAACCCATTACCAACCAGCAAGCCTTCAGCTACAGGGGAGTTGCAGTCTGTAAAGGAGGGGGCGGCTTTGTTAGACATTAGATTATTCCATTCCATCCCCTGCAGCCAGAAATGTATTTTCCCCTTAAAAGTACTGAAGATTAAAGGAAGGATTTAAATCAGTGGCTGATTTAATAAATAGTGTTGACAGCCGGGCTCTGTGACTCACGCCTGTAATCCCAGCACTTTGGGAGGCCGAGGCGGGCGGATCACCTGAGGTCAGCAGTTTGAGACCAGCCTGGCCAACATGGTGAAACCCTGTCTCTACTAAAAACACAAAAATTAGCTGGGTGTGGTGGCGGGCACCTGTAATCCCAGCTACTCGGGAGGCTGAGGCAGGAGAATTGCTTGAACCTGGGAGGTGGAGGTTGCAGTGAGCCAAGATTGCACCAGTGCACTACAGTCTGGGTGACAAAGCAAGACTCCGTCTCAAAAAAAAAAAAAAAGTGTTGGCATATCTAATGAGTTATCTGCATGAAAATAAGATGATTCCCCTAGAAAACTATTACAAGTTGACCATCCCAAATGGGAAAATCCAACATTTTTAAGTGCTGACATGACCAAGGAAATGCTCATTGGAGGATTTTGAATTTGGGATCCTCAACCAGTAAATATAATACAAATATTCCAAAATCCAAAAAAATCCGAAATTCAAAACATTTCTGGTCCCACGTATTTCAGATAAGAGATACTCAACCTGCATAGGTGTTAAAACTCAGTTAAGTGGTTTCCCTTGTCTGAGGGTAGTGGCTCAAAGGACACAAAAGGGACGTTGGGGTGCTGAATACATAATTTTTCAGTTTGTGAAAATCCACTTAGAACTTGTGAGGGCTGGGTGTGGTGACTCATGCCTGTAGTCCCAGAGCTTTGGGAGGCCAAGGTAGGAGGACTGCTTGAGCCCAGGAGTTCGTGACCAGCCTGGGCAACATGGCGAAACCCTGTCTCTACAAAAAATGCATAATACAAAAAACTAGGGCCAGGCATGGTGGCTCAGCACTTTGGGATTCAGGTCAGGAGTTCAAGACCAACCTGGCCAAAATGGTGAAACCTCATCTCTACTAAAAAATACAAAAAGTAGCCAGGCATGGTGGCGCCACCTGTAATCCCAACTACTCGGGAGACTAAGGCAGAGAACTGCTTGAACCCGGGAGGGAGAGGTTGCAGTGAGCCAAGATCGCACCACTACACTCCAGCCTGGGCAACAGAGTGAGACGACATCTCAAAAAAATAATAAAATAAAAAACTAGCTGGGCATGGTGACTCACATCTGTAATCCTAGCTATTTGGGAGGCTGAGGTGGGAGGATTGCTTAAGCCTGGGAGTTCGAGGCTGCAGTGAACTATGATTGAACCACTGAATGCCAGAGCGAGACCCTGTCTCTAAAAAATGAACTGGTGCATTTTTTAATGTGTCTATTGTAGTCACCAAAAAAATTTTTGGCTTTAATTACCCCACTAATATATCACATACAACCATAATTTCTAGTAGATTAAAGATCCAAAATTTTTAAATGAAACTATTTAAATACTAAAGGAAGAATGGTAGAATTTGTATAACCTCAGGGTAGAGAATCCTTTATTTAAAAAAAAAAAAATTCTGGGTGTGGCGCAGTGGCTCACGCTTGTAATCCCAGCACTTTGGGAGGCCGAGGCAGGTGGATCACCTGAGGTCAGGAGTTCGACACCAGCCTGGCCAACATGGTGAAACCCCGTATCTACTAAAACTACAAAAATTAGCCGGGCGTGGTGGTGGCCACCTGTAATCCCAGCTACTTGGGAGGCTGAGGCAGGAGAATCACTTGAACCCGGGAGGTGGAGGTTGCAGTGAGCCAAGATTACACCATTGCACTCCAGCCTGGGCAACAAGAGTGAGACTTTGTCTCAAAAAAAAAAAAAAAAAAAAAAAGTTTAGCAAAAAGCGCCATAAACAAAGTCAAAAGATACCCACTGGGAGAAGAAATTTGCACTTCTCATCACAGAGTTAAACTCCCAATGAATGCCCACAAATGATTAGAAAAGACAGTGCAATGGAAAAGTGGGTCAAGGATCCGAACACACTGTTCACAGAGCAGGAAAGGCAAATGACAACAAACAAATGGAAAGATGCTCTGCGTGGCCTGTCAGGAAAATCAAAATGAAAACAAGACATTTACCCATGAGTTGACATGGGTACCATGTTTACATTTACCATGAGTTTACATTTACCCACAAAATGTTACAAATAACACCCAGGGTTAAGATTGTATCAACAGAAAAACTGGCGTGTTACTGGTGGGAATATGAATCGCCTCAACTTTTAGGGAGAGCAATCAGGCAGAATCTCTTAAAACTTTAAAGACACATAAATCTTTTATCTCGCTCTCCAATTTGGAGGAATCTGTTCTACAGAGTAAAAGCATCAGGCTATAAGAGCCAAGGATGTGTATTACATCATGCTTTTCATTGGCAAAAATTATAACCTGATTGTCTATGGGGAACACTTTAATAAATTATGGGCACATCCACACTACAGGATATTTTGCTGTTAACAAGAATGAGTTGGCCAGGCACGGTTGCTTGAGCCTGTAATCCCAGCACTTTGGGATGCTGAGGTGGGCGGGTCATACGATCAAGAGATCCAGACCATCCTGGCCAACATGGTGAAACCCTGTCTCTACAAAAATACAAAAATTAGCTGGACGTGGTAGCGGGTACCTGTAATCCCAGCTATTTGGGAGGCTGAGGCAGGAGAATCGCTTGAATTTGGGAAGCAGAGGTTGCAGTGAGCCGAGATCGTGCCACTGCACTCCAGCCTGGGCAACAGAGTAAGACCCTGTCTCAGAAAAATCAATAAATAAAAGTAAAAAAATATTTTAAAAAGAATGAGTTAAACTGGCTGGGCATGGTGGCACATGCCTGTAATCCCAGCTACTTGGAAGGCCAAGGTGGGCAGATCCCTTGAGGCCAGGAGTTGGAGACTAGACTGGGCAGCACAGTGACACCTTGTTAAGCAGGTACAGTTGCTCAGGAGGCCAAGGTGGGAAGATTGCTTGAGCCCAGGAGTTCAAGACCAGCCTGTGCAACATGACAAAAGCGAAACCCCTTCTCTACAAAAAGTACAAAAATTAGCCAGGCATGGCGGTGCATGCCTGTAGTCCCAACTACTCAGGAGGCTGAGAGATGGGAGGATCACTTGAACCCAGGAGGTCGAGGCTGCAGTGATCTGTGATCACCGCACTGTACTCCAGCCTGGGCGACAGAGGGAGACCCTGTCTCGAATAAACAAATTTTAAAAATTAAAAAAATTAAAATGGGCCGGGCGCGGTGGCTCAAGCCTGTAATCCCAGCACTTTGGGAGGCCGAGACGGGCGGATCATGAGGTCAGGAGATCGAGACCATCCTGGCTAATACGGTGAAACCCCGTCTCTACTAAAAAATACAAAAAACTAGCCGGGCGAAGTGGCGGGTGCCTGTAGTCCCAGCTACTCGGGAGGCTGAGGCAGGAGAATGGCGTGAACCCGGGAGGAGGAGCTTGCAGTGAGCTGAGATCCGGCCACTGCACTCCAGCCTGGGTGACAGAGCAAGACTCCGTCTCAAAAAAAAAAAAAAAAAAAAAAAAAAAAAAAAAAATTAAAATGAATTAATGAATTTACTATATGTAGTGACTCAAAAAGATATCCATGATATATTATTAACTGATAAAAAGGCAAGTGAATATGAATCCATTTTTATTTAAAATGAAAGAAGTGAGAGGAAGGGAGAGAGAGAGGGAAGGGAAGGAAGAAAAAGAAAATACAAAAAAAAGAAAAAAAAAGAAATGACACATATTTGTATGTAGATTTGCAGCACGTTGGTATGAGGGGGAGAAATGTGGAACAATCACATTAAACTTTTTTCTTTTTTTTTGAGACACAGTCTCACTCTGTTGCCCAGGCTGGAGTGCAGTGGCATGATCTCAGCTCACTGCAACCTCCGCCTCTTGGGTTCAAGCGATTCTCCTGCCTCAGCATCCCCAGTAGCTGGGATTACAGGTATGAGCCACCGCGCCCAGCAGATCACATTAAACTATTAACAGCTCAGCTTCCTTTATAAGTAAGAAATGGCAAAGGGTACAGGTAGAAGGGAAATGGGCCTCTTTTATATTAACAAGGTTGTCAGAGGCAGCATGCTTCAATTTGCAAGAACAGTATTTAGTGGATCCTTATAATATGCTAGGCACTGCTCTCAGTGCTTTGCATTCCTTTTTTTCTTTTTCTGAGACAGGGTCTCGATCTGTTGCCCAGGCTGGAATGCAGTGGCATGATCTCAGGTCACTGCAGCCTTGACCTCTCAGGCTCAAGTGATCCTCCCACCTCAGCCTCCTGAGTAGCTGGGACTACAGGTGTGTGCCACCACACCTAATTTTTGTTTTGTAGAGACAGGGTTTTGCCACGTTGCCCAGGCTGGTCTCAAACTCCTGGACTCGAGCAATTTTGCCTGCCTCAGCCTCCCACAATGTTGGGATTTTAGGTGTGAGCCACCACGCCTGGCCTGCACTTTCTTCCTTTGTCAGGGCAACCTGCTATGTTTTAAATACGTCGCCTCCAAAATTCAGGTGCTGCCAATGTGAGAGTATTAACAGATGGGACCTGTGAGAGGTGATTAGGTGAGGGGGTCTCCTTCCTCGTGAGCGGGATTAAGGCCCTCATAAAAGAGACTTTGCCCAGCACGGGGCTCACCTGCCCTTCCACCTTCTACTTCCCACCATCCGTGTAAGGACGCAGCATTCCTCCAAATGCAGCTCTCACCAGACAACCAAACCTGCCAGCACCTTGATCTCGGACTTCCCAGCTTCCAGAACGGTGAGAAATCAATTTCTCTTTTTTATTAACTACCTAGTCCCAAGTATTATGTAGGGAGGCACAAAATAGACTGAGACACACCCTATGAGGTCAATACCATGAGTAGCCCCATATTATAGATGAGAAAACTGAGGCACAGGAGAGAAGCCAGTTACCCAAGTGTGTAGTCATTAAGTGGTGAAACTGGAATAATTTAAAAATGTAGAGAGTGGCTGGGCGTAGTGGCTCACACCTGCAATCCCAGCACTTTGGGAGGTCGAGGCAGGCAGCTTGCTTGAGCCTGGGAGTTTGAGACCAGCCTGGCCAACATGGAGAAACCCCGTTTCTACCAAAAAAAAAAAAAAAAAAAAATAGCTGGGCATGGTGGTGTGGGCACCTGTAGTTCCAGCTACTCAGGAGGCTGAAGTGGGAAGATCGCTTGAGCCAGGGAGGTGGAGGTTGCAGTGGGCCAAGATCACACCACTGTACTCCAGCCTGGGCAACAGTGAGACTTACAAACAACAGTGAGACTTACAAACAACAGTGTGCAAGGGCATAGAGCGAAGTGCCGGAGAAAGGACGCTTACTCCCACAGTTGCTCCTGATAGCGTGCACTGCTACTTCACACCCTACCATGAACAGTGGGTGCAGCTGGGAGAAGAAAATGCCTGCAACTTTTTGTGGGGGCGGAGGGGGGATGGAGTCTTGCTCTGTGGCCTAGGCTGGAGTGCAGTGGCACGATCACGGTTCACATCAACTTCTGACTCCCGGGTTCAAGCAATTCTCCTTCCTCAGCCTCCTAACTAGCTGGGACTACAGGCGTGTGCCACCATGCCCAGCTAATTTTTTGTATTTTTTTTTTAGTAGAGACAGGGTTTCACCATGTTAGCCAGGATAGTCTCGATCTCCTAACCTCATGATCCACCTGCCTTGGCCTCCCAAAGTGCTGGGATTACAGGTGTGAGCCACTGCGCCCAGCTGGCATCTGCAACGTTTTTGCACCATGAATGAATAACTACAAATGACTAAAATAACTAGAAAGGCGCATTTAAGCCTTAAGCTCTCTTCCTGCTTTTATTATTGACCACACCTAGCAAGGGAGGTACCTCTTGGGCTAAATTCAGCCAAGTGTAACTTTCAGGGCCCAGTATGCCAAACCAGGGGATTTCCAAACTTGGTCCTGAGGTTTTGGACTCTTGAAACTAAGATTCAGTGCAGTAGGTGTTTGATGGTGATTTACATGCGCTGGAAATGACTGACTTGCTTTGGATAGCCTGGGAAAAGGGAAAGGCAGCTCTGAGGCTACCTCAACAAATTCCTACCTCTTAACCCATGCATTTAACACGATTGGGAGGCAGGTGAGCATATCAAGCTCTAACAGGCATTTTCTTTGTAATTTACCTCGCCGTTATCAGTGTTTACTGAACACCGCTCTGACAGTTTTTATTTTATTGACTTCTCATCAACGTGAACAAGCATTTTCTAAGTAGTGAGACAGTCAAGGTACTTCTTGGAAAATGAACAAGTCAGAATATCCATCTCTTGATCTTTCAAGGAGCTCAGACTCTAATAGCTATAAGCATGCCTGTGACTTTACAATTTTTCATGTAAGGCAACACACAAACAGGAATAATATATTTGTAACAAATATAACCACCAAAGTGCAGTACCTGGAATACGTAGATCCCCAAAACAACTCAAAAGAAAAATGGTCAAAAGAAGGTGGGTGGGGCGCGGTGGTTCACACCTATAATCTCAGCACTTTGGGAGGCCAAGGCGGGCAGATCACCTCATGCCAGGAGTTCAAGACCAGCCTGGTCAACATGGTGAAACCCTGTCTCTACTAAAAATGCAAAAAAAATTAGCCAGGCATGGTGGCGGGCGCCTGTAATCCCAGCTACTCGGGAGGCTGAGGCAGGAGAATCGCTTGAACCCAAGAGGCGAAGGTTGCAATGAGCTGAGATTTCACCACTGCACTCCAGCCTGGGCAGCAGAGCAAGCCTCTGTCTCAAACAAACAAACAGACAGATGGTTGTGAATAGGCAATTAACAGAAAAGAAGTTTTCTGGGCCTGGAGGGTTCATTTTCCCTTCCTGCCACTTAACTAGCTGAGCAACATGACCTGGGAGGAGTTACACTACTAGAGTTTACCCTGAGAGAGGCCACAGGATGCACACACAGATAACCTCTTCAGGGTAGAGTGGCATTAGTGTGTTAGGAGAGGTAAGGGACAAAGTTCAACAGAGGGCTGGGCGCGGTGGCTCATGCCTGTAACCGCAGCACTTTGGGAGGCCGAGGCGGGTGGATCACTTGAGGTCAGGAGCTAGAGACCAGCCTGACCAACATGGTGAAACCCCCGTCTCTACTAAATATACAAAAATTAGCTGGGCATGGTGGCGTGCACCTGTAATCCTAGCTACTGGGGAGGCTGCAGCGCAAGAATCGCTTGAACCTGGGAAGTGCACACCACTGCACTACAGTCTGGACAACAGAGTGAGACTCTGTCTCAAAAAAAACTTCCACAGAGGAAAACTTCAGGACTTCGGGGCTGGCCCGTTAGGAAAGGCCCTCAGAGGAGCTTGCCATTTGAACTGAATCTTGGTCTTGAACTCCTGGCCTCAAGCAGTCCTCCTGCCTCAGCCTCCCAAAAGTGCTGGGGTTACAGGTATGAGCCACCACACCCAGCCAAAAACAATATTTTTTAGCCAGGTTTCAAGTTCTGCTTTGACCAAAAAAATTAGCTGAGTGTGGTGGCACACACCTGTAGTCCCAGCTACTCAGGGGGCAAAGATGGGACTATCACTTGAGCCCAGGAGGTCAAGGCTGAAGTGAGCCCTGATCATGCCACTGCACTCCAGCCTGGGCAGCAGAGCAAGACCCTGTCTCAAAAAGAAAAAAAGAAGTATGTTAAAGGTAAGACTTTGTATCAGTTTCATGCATTCTCCTTCTGCCTTCTCTCTTCACTTGAGTGCTCCAGGGAACATGAGTGCGAATCAGACACATCTATTAGTTGCAAACAAAAAACCTGGATGCTTTAGTGAACCTCAAGATTTGGTTAGCCGGGTACAGCTAAAACTAATGATACAAGATCCAAGTCTTCCTTTTTTCCCTCATTACCAGCTCTCTTTTTTGTGTTTAAGCTACGCATAAATACAGAACATTCTGTAAGAGTGGAAAGTCAGGAAACAGTTCCTGCCCTAGTATTGGAGGAGAGCGTGCCTGTGCCTCGGGGAGCTTAAGAAAGAAATACAAAGGAAATAGCAACCACCGTGTATGCGGCAAGCCTCTCAGCTGTAAGAATCTATTCCCTGCTGTCTCTGCCAGCAACTCATTCTGGGCTACCAATCCCCTGCTTAGTCCCTTTCTCAGAGATTCTGATAATTTCAGTCGGTCAATTGCAAGGGCAATCTCTTCCTCCACTCACTTTGACCAAGATGGGCTTCTGTGTGTGCAGGTGCATTTTTAGAGGCAGGACCAGGTTCACAGGGAAAGAAATTACAAAACGCAGGACTGTGCCCCAGATGAGGCAACAGCTTTCTAAATCTTAGCGCTGTCCAGTCTCAGAGTGAGATTATTTGGGAAATAGCTCTCAGTCCCTGCAGTTGTCTCAGCTGGTTATTTATGCCTTGGGTGGAGCTGGGTTGACCTCTAAGTTCCCCTAGGGTTGATGGCCGAGTGGGGAGGCTCTATCACTGAAATGGACCCAATACTAGAAACGGATCCAGTACGACCTGATCAGGTTTGCCTAATCCAAGGGCCTCAATGGAAAATACCTCCCAAGGCCAGGCACGGCTGCTCACGTCAGTAATCCCAGCACTTGGGGAGGACGAGGTGGGCGGATCACCTGAGGTCGGGAGTTTGAGACCACGCTGGCCAACATGGCGAAACCCCGTCTCTACTAAAAATATTAAAACTAGCTATGCATGGTGGCGCACTCCTGTAATCCCAGCTACTCGGGAGGCTGAGATGGGAGAATCGCTTGAACCCGAGAGGCGGAAGTTGCGGTGAGCTGAGATAGCACCATTGCACTCCAGCCTGGGCGACAAGAGCAAAGCTCAGTCTCAAACAAAACAAAACAATACAAAACAAAACAACAAAACCTGAGCCTGGCAGCTTGGAGCCGGTTCTGGTCTCTGTCAAACTAAAGGTATCGGTTTCCTCCACTCCTGTCCACCAATCACCAGATATTCTCATTTTCTTCAGAAGCTCGGAATCCACATTTTTAAGTGAAATCACCCATTTTAATGTTTGCAACTTAATTCAAATTGGTTTAAATACTATAGCCCGAAAGAGGTATGGGCTGTGACCGTAAGCCTGATTTGGCCTCCAGCGGCCAGTTTCTGACCCCAGTTTTGGAGGGAATTCCTGCGTCCAAGGTCAGGTTTCTCCTAAATGCCCACTGGAGTTCGTGGGGGTGGAGTGAGGAAGGATCCACAACTCCGGATACAAACAGAAGCTCTCCTTCTCCCGGAGTCCCATCAAGGCTCATCCCAGGACCCTAATCTCTTCCCTTTGTGGGTTTTGACTCAAGGAACAAAACTCAGGGCCAAACCCATACAACCTCCTCCACAGGCACCAGGACTCCGGAGACCAAGCGCCTCGCCCTTTCCAGCACTCACCGACCATGGCGCTGGTGCAGTCCAGGGCGCTGATTGGCTGGACTCGTGCTTGCCGGGGCGACCCTGGCCGGGACTAGGCTCTCACTGGGCCGGGCGACTCCAGCGGCAACCTTGCAGGAGTCGTGTGTGTGGTGCGCGGTGCAGTCTCTCTCATATATCCTGCGCGGCTCATTGGAGTTGGACGTCAACAAGGGCGGGACCCAACGCCTGTATCCTGAGGTGCTGGGCTAGAGGATGCCAACGCTGCAGCTCCAGGAAGGGAGGGAGCCTGGGGGGTGAAGGAGGAGCCCCTCCACTCCCACCCGCCCCGCCTGAGCAACTGGTGGAAGTCAAGAAAAGTCTCTGGGGGCTGGAAGAGGGGTTCGTGGGGGTGTGTGACAGAGGCCTCAAAAATCTGGCTGGAGGGGCTAAGGCAAGCCCATCTGCGCACTGTGCCCTGAGGTGCAAGGGGATGCAGGGTGGAAGTTGTTCCCAAGAGAGTCCAGGGATCGAGTGGGCCTGCCCTTTGAGCCTTGGCACGAAGTGGAGCAGAAAAAAAGCCGGATGCAGATTACTGTGGTGCCCCAGGCTCAGATTCTGCTGAGTCACTGTGACTGTGGATTTGGAAGGCTGAGAGCACTGGGGAGACATGTTCCGTGGAGTTGAATTTGTTTCTTCCTTTGCAAGATTCAGATTCTGCACTTGGGGGCCCATACAACACACTTCCCTGGGTGCATGCCGCTGCACCACCCCTGCTCCTCAAGGCAGGTAATGGGGGAACTAATTGGTTTTGTTTCCCATGAGCTAAAGCAAGGCTGGTGTGGAGATAGCAGTTATAGGGAGGCATATTAAAGAATAGCCAAAACGGAGCCAGGCGCGGTGGCTCATGCCTGTAATCCCAGCACTTTGGGAGGCTGAGGTGGGCGGATCACCTGAGGTCAGGAGTTAGAGACCAGCCTGGCCAACCTGGGGAAACCCTGTCTGTACTAAAAATACAAAAATTAGCCGGGCATGATGGCGGGTGCCTGTAGTCCCAGCCACTCGGGAGGCAGAGGCGGGAGAATCGCTTGAACCCAGGAGGCGGAGGTTGCGGTGGATCCAGATCGAGCCACTGCACTCCCACCTGGGTGACAAAGCGAGACTCCGTCTCCAAAAAAAAAATCTCTATAAAGAAAAAGTTAAAGATGTCAATGAAGGAAAAAGAACTAGAGCTTTAAAGTGGTAATGAACCATCACAAGAATTACAGATGGGGAAGGTGAGGATGACACAGGGCCCTTCCATTGTCCCTCCAGTGCAAAAGTTAAGGAGGTACCAGAATACTGGTGTCCAACTCCCGACTTTAGGTGATCCTAGCAGCTCAGCCTCCCAAAGTGCTGGGATTACAGGCATGAGCTACCGCGCCGGGCCCCATCATGACATTTTTGCATTCATTTTGATGCAACAAGAGAGGACTGTGTATTTACGAATTATTTTGGGAGGCCTAGGCAGGAGGATCACTTGAGCCCAGGAGTTTGCAATAAGCCTGAGCAACAAAGTGAGACCCCATCTGACAAAATAGTATAAAAGGACCTTTTAAAAAAGGGCTAGGCAGCCCTGTCCAATAGAACTTTTCCTATCTGTGCTGCCCAAGTAAGGTAGCCGCAAGCTTCAAGTAGCTATTGAGCACTGGAAATGTGGCCAGCAGCCAGGCGTGGTGGCAGGCGCCTGTGGTCCCAGCTACTCAGGATCTAAGGGGAAAAGATCACTTGAGCCCAGGAGTTCACGGCCGCAGTGGTGCACTTAAAAAAATAGGAAAAAAAAAAAGTGGCCAGTGGACTGAGGAAGTGAAGTTTTAATTTTAATTACATTGGTTTTTTAAAACTTTATTTTTTGAGGCAGAGTTTTGCTGTGTTGCCCAGGCTGGAGTGTAGCGGCAGGTTCTTGGCTCACTGCAATCTCCATCTCCACAAGCAATTCTTGTGCCTCAGCTTCCCGAGTAGCTAGGACCACAGGCATGTGCCACCACACTCAGCCACGTTTTGTATTATTAGTAGAGATGGGTTTCACCATGTTGGCCAGGTTGGTCTCCAACTCCTGACCTCAGGTGATCCACCCACCTCGGCCTCCCAAAGTGCTAGGATTACAGGCATGTACCACTGCGCGTGGCCTTAATTAATTTAAATTTAGATAGCCAAATGTCACTAGTGTCTGGAAAGACCTGAGCTGATTCAGATCGAGGCCGCAGTGTGCTGGCTAGTCTATCTCCCACTCTTCTAGTGAGATTGTTTTCTCGATCTCCAGTCTCCCCAACCCATCTGGAGGTGGGGCTCAAAGCCCCAAACCTCGAGTGTCATATTCGGTCTTTGGTTTGCAGCATGACCAGCTCCCATCCTCAGTCATCTTGTTAACATGAACTATATAGGGGCCCACCCCAAGTCATCTCATTTAGCATAAACTGTCAGGAGTGGTCTGAGAGGCCCACAATGAATAAGATGGACATTCCTATCATTTGGGATTTAGAGGCTCAGGGGCATGATGATAGTTCACTGCAGCCTCAACCTTCTGGGGTCAAGCAATCCTCCTGCCCCAGCCTCCTGAGTAGCTGAGACAACAGGTGCATGCCACCATGCCTGGCTGATCTTTATTTATTTATTTTTGGTAGACACAGGGTCTCACTATGGTGCCCAAGCTGCTCTCAAACTCCTGGGCTCACGTGATCCTCGCGCTTTGATCTCCCAAAGTACTGGAGTTACAGGTATGTGCCACCACTCCTGGCCAAATTTGTTACTACACAGTGGTAAAGACAGACATCTGAGGTCGCAGTGAGCCGAGATCGCGCCACTGCACTCCAGCCTGGGTGACAGAGGGAGATCCTGTCTCAAAAGAAAAAAAAAAAAAGAAACTTAGTGGCCAGGCACAGTGGCTCAGGCCTATAATCCCAGCACTTTGGGAGGCTGAAGTGGGTGGATCACTTGAGCTCAGGAGTTGGAGATGAGCCTGGACAACATAGAGAAACCCTGTCTCTACAAAAGAAAAAAGAAAAAAATTAGCTGCACATGGTGGTGCTGCCTGTAGTCCCAGCTACTCAGGAAGCTGAGATGGGTGGATCACCCGAGTCTGGGAAGTCGAGGCTAGAGTGAGCTATGATTGTGCTACTGTACTCCAACCTGGGCAATAGAGTGACACCCTATCTAAAAACAAAAACAAAAAAAAACAAGAAACCCAAGTGGGTTGATTGGGAAGCACAGGAGCCAGAAGTTAAAATCATGAGGAAGCATCAGTGAAACCACAGGGTGTGGGGCATTCTATAGGACATCCACGCTGGCTTATCCCATGATTCAGTGCTATAAGAAAAATGAAGGAGTGCATATCAGTCAGGACTTTCCAGAGAAACAGAACCAATGGAATTTGTATAAATACATAAAAAGCAATATATTGCTGGGTACAGGGGCTCAAACCTTGTGATGGTTAATATTGAATGTCAACTTGATTGGATTGAAGGATGCAAAGTATCGATCCTGGGTGTGTCTGTGAGGGCGTTGCCAAAGGAGATTCACGTTTGAGTCAGTGGGCTGGGAGAGGCAGACTCACCCTCAGTCTGGGTGGACACCATCTAATCAGCTGCCAGTGCGGCCAGAATACAAAACAGGCAGAAAAACGTGAAAAGACTAGACTAGACCTGGTGCCATGGCTCACGCCTGTAATCCTAGCACTTTCGGAGGCCAAGACGGGTGGATCACTTGAAGTCAGGAGTTCAAGACCAACCTGGCCAATATGGCAAAACCCATCTCTACTAAAAATACAAAAAAATTTAGCTGGGTGTTGTGGTGCATGCCTGTAATCCCAGCTGCTCGGGAGACTGAGGCAGGAGAATAGCTTGAACCCAGGAAGCAGAGGTTGTGGTGAGCTGAGATCACACTGCTGTACTCCAACCTGGGAGACAGAGTGAGACTCACCTCACCAAAAAAAAGAAAAAAAAAAAAATGGCTAGACTGGCCTAGCCTCCCAGCCTACATCTCTCTCCTGTGCTGGATGCTTCCTGCCCTCCAACATCAGACTCCAAGTTCTTCAGCTTTGGGACTCGGACTGGCTTCCTTGCTCCTCAGCTTGCAGATGGCCTATTGTGGGACCTTGTGATCATGTGAGTTGATACTGCATGTCTGTCTTATTAGTTCTCTCCCTCTATAGAAACCTGACTAATCCACACCTGTAATCCCAGCACTTTGGGAGGGCAAGGCAGGCGGATCCCTTGAGGCCAGAAATTTGAGACCAGCCTGGGCAACGTAGTGAGACCCCATCTCTACAAAACATAATTTTAAATAAAATTAGCCAGGTGTGGTAGTGTGTGTCTATAATCCCACTCACTTGGGAGACTGAGGTGGGAGGATTGCTTGAGCCCAGACAGTGAAGGCTGCAGTGAGCCAAAGATCTCCCCATTGCACTCCAGTTTGGGTGGCAGAGTGAGATCCTGCCTAAAAAAAAAAAAAGCCAGGTGCGATGGCTCACGCCTGTAATCCCAGCACTTTAGGAGGCTGGGGTGGGCAGATCACTTGAGATCAGGAGTTTGAGACTAGCCTGGCCAACATGGTAAAACCCCATCTCTACTAAAAATATGAAAATTAGGTGGGCGTGGTGGCATGTGCCTGTAATCCCAGCACTTTGGGAGGCCAAGGCGGGCAGATCACGAGGTCGGGAGTTTGAGAGCAGCCTGGCCAACATGGTGAAACCCCGTGTCAACTAAAAATACAAAAATTAGCTGGGCATGATGGTACATGCCTGTAGTCCCAGCTACTCGGGATGCTGAGGCTGGAGGAGAATTGCTTGAACCCAGGAGGTAGAGGTTGCAGCAAGCCGAGATCATGCCACTGCACTCCAGCCTGGGCAACAGAGGGAGACTCCATCTCAAAAAAAAAAGGAAAAGAAAGCTATGTTTTATGAGGGATCGGCTCGTTTGACTCTGGAGGCTGAGATGTCACACGATCTGCTGTGTGTAAGCAGGAGACCAGGGAAAGCTGGTGATGTGGTTTTGGTCCAAACTCAAGAGTGAGAACCAGGGGAGCCAGCGTTGCGAGTGCCACTCCCAGTCCAAAGGCCCAAGGACCGGGAACACCAATGCCTAAGAGCAAGAGAAGATGGTGTCCCATCTTAAGAAGAGAGCGAGCCCGCTGACCCGGCCGCCTCCTTTCTA